ACAGCGAGTTCCTAGGGGAAACTAGGAGCGATCCCTGTAGGAAATTTGGTACATATCAATGTGGAGCATGTTTCTACTGTATTTTCATGGATTTGCATTCTCATGTTACACTTCCCAACAGACAGCTGTTTCATCCTAAGCATTTTGTGAACTGCAAAACTGCAGGGGTAGTTTATCTACTTACCTGTGAATGCAGATGCTTTTACATTGGGAAGACTGAGATGGAATTCTGGAGGTGCATTTATTTTATTTATTTATTACAATTTATGCAGCACTTTACATATATTCGTTCACATCAGTCCCTAACCCTCAAGGGGTGTACAATCTAAAGTCCCTAACTTACATTCATACATACATATACTAGGGCCAGTTTAGACAGGATCCAATTAACCCACCAGCATGTCTTTGGAGTGTGGGAGGAAACCAAAGTACCCAGAGAAAACCCACGCAGGCACAGGGAGAACATGCAAACTCCAGGCAGGTGGTGCCATGGTTGGGATTCGAACCAACGACTCTAGTACTGCCAGGCGGAAGTGCTAACCATTTAGCCACTGAGTATTTATCGTCATGTACCCAGCATATGCAAAGAGACACTGAATTACCATTAGGTCGCCATGCTGCCTTGGAACATGACACCATTACACCTAAAGTGCAGTGTTTAGCCCTTGTTAGGGTTCATTCCAACCTGAGGAGTGGTGACCTTAAAAAACCTCTCTTACAAAGAGAACGTAGATGGATTTTTAACTAAACACCACTATACCCCCCCCTCCCCGGCTTGAATGAAACTCAATTTTAGACCTTTTCTTCAGGACTTCTCTTCAGGGGGATGTGAACTAGGCCTCTAGGTAATACCTATTGTTGCTAGTATGTAATTGTGTTTTCACCACATTGTTTGATTTAGTTCTCCTTGATGTGTCTTTTTTTTTGCCGTTTTTGTTATTTTTCTGTTTTCTATCAACAGTGATATTATTCATGCCCAATAGAGGACCTTTGAACTCTTCCTTTTTATGCACACTATTCAACATATATTGTATTTTACAAACTGTATGTATATGCTGTAGTATTTGTATGCCATGTGAGGCAATATGTATCTCGTTTATGAATAATTGCTGTAGTGTGGGGCTGTATGTCTGCCTTGTGTCTCCTGGACTCCACTGGATTTGTCTCCCCTCGTCTTTTTTTTTTTTTTTTTCTTTTTTTTTTTTGTTTCACTTTGTTTTTCTTTTGTTTTGGTTTTGTTTTTGTTCTGGTCTACTCTCTGCTACCTGGCATGCATGGGCTCCCCCTTTGATCCCCCCGTTGGGGTGCGGTGAGAGCCCAACGATGGTGGCCATCGGTGGTGGGGTTGGACCAGGGGCATTCCTCCGGTCATGCTCTTTGGCTCTTCTTTCTCCCACTGCGAAATACATGCCCTCCTTGGGCGTGTTGTCCCTCTGACACTGCGACGTGTTACGTCATCCTGCCCTAATGTGCGGGGCCACGACGTCAGGGGATCCCAGCATGGACGCTGCCATTGTCGGGTGTCCTCCTTTTTTCCCCATATGCCATTGGTTGGCTTAAAGGAGCTCCACTGTTTAATGAGGGTATTCGTCTAAATGCTTTCCTTTCTGGCATATGATCGTCTAGGTCAGCAATGGGCAAACTACGGCCCGCGGGCCGTATACGGCCCGGCGGACCTTTTAATCCGGCCCGCGGAGCTAGGCTCCCGCAAGGCCAGTGGTCGGCAAGCCACGGCTCTTTACAAATTTAGATGCGGCTCTCCTGTGTGCCGGGCGCCCGCTCCCCTCCCTCCTCTCCCCTCCTCTCCTCTCGGATGGCCGCCCCCCCCTCTCGGATGGCCGCCCCTCCCTCCTCTCGGACGTCAGGACTCTGCAGCTGTCAGGATGTAGGCGGGGCAGCCAGGATGTAGGCGGGGCAGCGTGACGAACTCCTCTCACAGTCCTCCCTGAAGACCAGAACGGCGCGGGGGAATACGAGAGGAACGCGCGGACCAAAGGTAAGTGAATTGACACAGGGGGGGGGACTTACTATATGGGGGACTTACTATATGGGGGATGAATTACTATAGGGGGGACTTACTATATGGGGAATGAATTACTATATGGGGGACTTACTATATGGGGAATTAATTACTATATGGAGGACTTACTATATGGGGAATGAATTACTATATGGGGGACTTACTTATGGGGAATGAATTACTATATGGAGGACTTACTATATGGGGAATGAATTACTATATGGAGGACTTACTATATGGGGGATGAATTACTATATGGGGGACTTACTATATGGGGAATTAATTACTATATGGAGGACTTACTATATGGGGAATGAATTTATGGGGGACTTACTATATGGGGAATGAATTACTATATGGAGGACTTACTATATGGGGAATGAATTACTATATGGGGGACTTACTATATGGGGAATGAATTACTATATGGAGGACTTACTATATGGGGAATGAATTACTATATGGAGGACTTACTATATGGGGGATGAATTACTATATGGGGGATGAATTAATATGGGGGATGAATTAATATGGGGGATGAATTACTATGTGGGGGATGAATTACTATGTGGGGGATGAATTACTATGGGGGATGAATTACTATATGGGGGATGAATTACTATAGGGGGGATGAATTACTATGGGGGACGAATTACTATATGGGGGACGAATTACTATATGGGGGACGAATTACTATATGGGGGACGAATTACTATGGGGGATGAATTACTATATGGGGGATGAATTACTATATGGGGGATTAATTACTATGGGGGATTAATTACTATGCTTACTATGGGGGAATATTACTATACTTACTATGGATGACACATACACATCATTCATCTACTCTTGGTCCGGCCCCCGGGTCCAATATATGAACCCATTGCGGCCCTCAAGTCAAAAAGTTTGCCCACCCCTGGTCTAGGTGAATCTACGACACTCCACCCAAAACTGGTAATTCCATTTGGCATTCACTAGCAATCTCGCAGGCTTTCTAGATTTTTCTCTTTCATTTAAGTCGGCCTCATGCAGTGATATGTTTTTTTGACCATCATAGATTATTTACCCCTTCCCTATTCAACTTTGGGTGTTGATTGGTCCCTTTTTTGTGACCAGCAATTATGCAGTAAAGCAGCTTTACTCCTACATTGTACATTTTTATGTACTTTTTCTTGCAACTCTTTAGACTTTTGAATGCACCTTGTGGGGTTATCAGGGATCCCTGTGGCAGTTGGATGGACCTTCTGAGGTCATGGCCTTGAGGCTTCCTGTGGATGCTGGCAGATTTCAGCCTCATAAGATCTACCTTGGGCAGTGGTTCTCAACCTTCCTAATGTCACGACCCTTTAATACAGTTCCTCATGTTGTGGTGACCCCCAGCCATAAAATTATTTTCGTTGCTACTTCATAATTGTAATTTTGCTACTATTGTGTATTGTTATGTAAATATCTGATATGCAGGATGTATTTTCATTGTTACGTTCTGATTGAAAACAATTGGGAAATCGTTATCTTTGTAGGAACTGTTACACCCCAGCCTGACCCTACTACACACTCACCACCAGCTCATATCATATTATATACCTGTCTCCATGGTAACTGTGTAGTATTTATATTCAGAAATGATCAGATTATATACCAGAAAGTTATTTTGGAAGTGACTTTTGCTTTCCGTTCCCTTCATGCATACAGAAGCCCCTGGACCTCCAGCAGCCCTGGTTCTGTCCTCTGCCCTTTACACAATATTACATTATTGTCACTCATACCTGCTCCAGGAGCCTTGCCCCACTCCAGGAACACACAATAGGCAGAGCAGGGCACTCCCGCAGTTCAACTCCTTCTCTGTTTGTAAAATTTCCTGTTGGGTCACATTAAAATGGGCGCTCTTTTATGGATTTTTCGCCTCCTGCGCTATGAGAAAATGGCCGCGTTGGTCCCACTCTATCTACAGGTCCTGAAGGATCCAATCTGAATGACAAGCACATCATGTGGAATGCGCCAGCAGAGGGCACGGGACGGCCGTTTCCTCCCCCGTTCTCTGCGGTTGGCTCTGTTGCGCTTTATATATGATAGGGGCGGGGCTTGAGGTAGGAGGCTTTGTGATAATATGCTCATGAATATTAATGAGTAAGGAGGATTTAGACTCATATGTGGGCGTATCTGCACGTGGGCAGACCCGCCTGGAGATGGATAGAGGAGTGGTGTCTCTGTTCCTAAGACCAACGGAAATATGTGTTTTCCGATGGTCTTAGGTGACCCCTGGGGTCGCGACCCAAAGGTTGAGAACCGCTGACCTTGGGTTATCCTCATGTGTAATGTTACATACACTGATTATGTAAGCAGAGACTAAAACTTCTTTTTCGGCACCTTTTATATACATTTGCTGCTTTTTTTTGGGGGGGGGTTGGCCTGTTCTTATGATTTATAGCTTTTGTCAATTTATGATTGATCTTTGTGTGTTACATTTTAGAGTTGATGTACCCAGTCCTTCCCCCTGCAGAAGGAGATACTCTCCAAAACATGTTGGGATTTGGGATCTATTGAAGAATACACCCTTACTGACCAAGCTATGCTCCATGATTGTCAATTTTTGTATGGTGTATAGTTATGTGTATTTGGGTACAGCTAGCATTTTGTGTCAGCTAAGCTTCATATTCTACTAAATGTAAAGATCAGAAGATTTTATTGGTCTATTGATCTATTTTATTGTGTTTGTTCCATGTATATACAATAAAGAATGACAAGTTTTAGATGATGCACTCCATTGTGCTTCTGCCTGAAAAGTCCCAGGGGGTGGGTATGGGATCCAGTTTTGCAATCGTTATTTGGGATGATGGCAGGATGCTACATGGTAGATATCACTTGGCACAGTTAATTCTTTGCTATTTAATGTGTCTTTTAACTGCCATGGTTCAAGGGAGGATTGGATTAATAACAAGTAAAGTAATAAATCATTCTGGCTATTTTGTTCACACAGTGACGAAATAAAACGTGACTTGGATGCCTGGGAATCTTCTGGGCAATGGATTTTCTCTGTTTATAGTGTCAGCAAGGATACAAGAAATGTAACAGGTATTCCTTTACTATATAATGTTCAAGTTTTATTTTTTTTCATGATGGAGGAAATTGATTATTTCCTCATACAGTGGATTTAAGTTTAAGTTCCTCACTAAATAGTCCTTTTTCAGAAGTTCAGATCCTTAATTTATACGGAACTGCAGACAGCAGTATTTTCTGCTATGGACCCATTCACACTGCTCTAATTTGGTCCCCTGCATTCTGCTGCATAAGCCAAAGAAACCAGGGTTCATGGCACGGTACTGCTTTTGGACTGTATTTTATGCTGTAGGTATGTAAGCTTTGTGCTAATGTTTACATGTCTGCAGTGTAATAATTTTTTTTGTGCTGCTACTGCTGGGGGCTGACATTAAACAATAGTGTGTAATCGGTGGGCTTTGTTGACATGTTCACCATGAACAATGTGTTCATGCGGCAGTACATTTGCCAAAACACATAGGCTTTCAGTCATTCAGAATCACTGCAGGCCAACGTGATTCTGCTCATGCGCCACTGCTGCATGAATAAACAAGATATACCTGTGATCAAATCCCAATAGCTTGTACATGCATTTATCCATCAGGTGCTAAAGGGGTGCAACCACATATTAATACTAGAAATTCTGAAGGACCCTCTGCACACTGGTGTACACACCCTTTCCAGCAGACTTTCCAGCACAGGTATATCTTGTTTTTTGTATTGTGGGTCAGTAGCCAGACCTAAACCTGGTAGCTCTCCCCCACTTTGTCTTTTCCCCTATATTGGCATTGTGTCCCTAGTAGCATTTGCATAGGCAGAGTCGGACTGGCCATAGAGTGATTACTTTGACGCAGTTGGCCATGTATTGCAATATGTGTGAACCAAATATCCCTCTTCTTTATTGCAAAGTCTGCTGGAAAGAGTATATACCAGTGTGCAGAGAGTCCTTCAGAATTTCTACTGCTGCATGAATGACACATTCAGGGCCAACAAGTAAACAATGTGTAATAGCAGACACTGCCGCTGCTGATTAAACCTTTGTTTGCCTGTTGGCCCTGAATTTGTCATTCATGTGGCAGTGGCGCGTACACATCTGCACTCATACAGACACGTATGTGGCCAGCAACATCCCTTGTAAGAACAGTACAGCTGGACTAATGCTGGTTTCACTTTGTTTATAATGACTTTACTTGGAGCTAAGCCCTCAGTAGTCAGTAGGGCTTCTTTCTTTGGACAGCAGAATGTTGGGTGGGGATTGACTCAAAGAGGTGGGGCATAGCCCTATGTCGGGGAAGTTGAGCCCTTTGTAATGTGTAATCAAAATCACAAGGACCCACTAAAAGGACTTTTCTGGCTTTTACATTTGTATTTAAAAACAATTTTTATGCAGTGTTGTGTATATTAGGGTTTTTTGTTGTTTATATTTCATGTATTTTACTTTTTATGTTTTGTATGTTACAGAGTTTACAGACATTTCACCAGAGGAATTGCGCCTGGAATGTTATACAGCACGCGATTCTGGAAATATGCAGAACTATGTAAATGTCCTAATTTTGACAGATTAGGGTTGATTATGTACAGAGGGATATCTTTGTTTTATATGTTTTCTAAGAGCTGCATTAGAATGCAGCCGTTGGTGTGAGGTAGTATTGTGGCACCCTGCGTGGTTTTTTTTTTTTTTTCTCAATTATTATTGAAATGTCAAAAGGTGACATTTCTATGTACTGTTGGCTGTGGTACAAGGCGGTGGACTGCATTGCGCTGCTTTTGAAAAAAAAAAAAAAAGTGTATGCGGTGGTGTAAATCAACAAGGTAGGAAACAAGGCATGCGGTGGGACTGCACTTGAATAGCTGCCGAACACAGTCCCAACGCACCTGGTTGCAACATTATTATTATAATACAGGGTTTATATAGTGCCAACAGTTTGTGTAGCGCTTTACAATGTGAGAGCCAACAGTACAGTTGCAGTACAAATTTAATACAGGAGGAATCAGAGAGCCCTGCTCGTTAGAGCTCACAATCTCCAAGGGGAAGGTCAACTGATACAAAGTTAATAACTGTGGGGGATGAGCTGATGGAGAAAATACATGTACAGTTGTTGGGTGGAAGGAGGAAAGGCTTCTCTGAAGACCAAAATTTTCAGGGATCGCCTAAAAGTGGACAGATTGGGGTAGGGAATTCCATAGGATGGGAGAGGCTCGGGAGAAGTCCTGCAGGCGAGCATGGGAGGAGGTGACAAAGAAACTAGAGAGCAGGAGGTCTTGGGAGGAACGAAGAGTGGGATTTGGTTGGTATTTTGAGACTAAGTTAGTGATGTAGCTGGGGGCCTGGTTGTGGATGGCTTTGAAAATTGGTAGTATTTTTAATTGAATTTGTTGGATGAGTGGCAGCCAATAGAGGGAATGGCAGCGAGGTGTAGCAGAAACGGAACAGTTGGTAAGGTGGATGAGTCTGGCAGCAGCATTCATGATGGACTGGAGGGGGGGAGGCCTATGTAAAGGTAAGCCAATGAGGAGGGAGTTGAAGGAGGAGAGAGATATCCAGGGAGTGAAGTAGGAGCTTTGTGGTGTCATTGGTTAGGAAAGGGCGTATTTTGGAGATGTTGCAGAGGTTGAGACAGCAAACTTTGGAAAATGATTGGATGTTGGGCTGAAGAGAGTTCAGAGTCCAGGATTATACCTAGCACCTTGGAATGCGGGGATGGGTTGTTGGTTGTGCCATTGATCTTGACAGAGAAGTCAGAGGAAGGGGCACATGGGGGAGGAAATATTGGGAGCTTGGTTTTGGATAGATTGAGTTTGAGGAAGTGGTGTGACAACCCGGCTGATATGTCAGTCAGTAATTTAGTGATACGTGAGGAGACTGTTGTTGTGAGCTGAGGGGTAGACAGGTATATTTGGGTGTCGTCAGCGTTGAAATTATATTGAAAGCCATGGGAGGCTATCAGCTGACCCAGGGAGGAGGTGTAGATTGAGAATAGGAGAGGTCCAAGAACAGAACCTTGGGGGATCCCAACGGGAAAAGGAGGAGGAGAGGAGGAAGTAGAATTGTAAGTGACACTGAAGGTGCAGTGGGATAGGTAGGATGAGAACCAACGGAGAGCACAGTCACGGATACCATGGGAGTAAAGTTTTTTTGAGGAGCAGGGGGTGGTCAACCATATCAAAGGCAGCTGAGAGGTCCAGAAGAAGTACAGAATAGTATCCATTGGTTTTTGCTGTTAGTAAATCGTTTGCGAGTTTTAAGAGAGCAGTTTCTGTGGAGTGTTGAGGGCGAAATCCAGACTGAAGGGGATCAAGAAGGTTATTCTTGATGAGGTGGTCAGTCAGTTGATTATAGAGCAGGCGTTCAAGGAGTTTGGAGGAAAAGGGGAGCAAGAAGATGGGGTGGAGGTTGTTAAGCTTAGTGGGGTCCAAGGAATGCTTTTTAAGTATGGGGATGACTAGTGCAAGTTTTAGATTGTTGGGAAAGGTGCTAGAAGAGAGGGATAGATTGAAGATGTAAGTTAGTGTGTAAGATAGAGCCAGACTGTGACCGCAGTATTTGAGAGGGAATAGGGGACAGGTGGTTAGGTTGGCGTTAGAAGTTTAGCAACCTAGTAGCACGGTTGAATAAGGGTAGTGGTGAGTCTACCTGTGGACATGGGGTGTTAAGTGGGGGAGTTATCTGTAGAGTGGAGATTTCATTATGAATTGCATCGATCCTATTTTTTAAGTGATTGGTGATCTCCTGGGCAGTGAGCGAGTTTAGTGGTTGGAGGACGAAGAAGAGAGTAAAGGTAGAGAAGAGTTGATGGGGACTGGATGAGAAGGTGTTAATGGGAGTAATAAAAAAAAAAAAAAAAAAAATCAGCTTGGCAGTGTGGAGGCATATGTTGTGTTTTTTTAGAGGGAAGTTTTATATTGGTAAGAAGTCTTTGTGAGTCTTGCGTCACAGATGCTTAAGAGCACGGCTGCGTTTTTTTTAGACTTCTGGTATTGTCTGTTTGCCAGGGTTGTGGGGTTCGGGGCCTGATTGTGTGTGTGTAGTGAGAGGGGCAAACTTTCCCAGGGTAGAGGACAGGAATCTATTGTAGACAGAAGTGGCTAGATTGGGGCAAGACAGGGGTGAGATATTGTCATAGAGGTGGTCAGTAGCACAGTGGAGAAGAGAAGGTTTCTATGGGTAATTGTTAGGCGGTTGAAAGGAGAGGTGGTGGAAGACAGGGAGAGAGTGACACTAAAGGTGGTGATCAGAGAGAGGAAAAGGATAGTTGAAGAGATTGGATGGAGTGCATAGGTAGGAGAATACAAGGTCAAGGGTATATTAAGAAGTTTAGAAGTAGCAGGAGTGTTGGTATTAACAGGGATGTTGAAGTCACCGAGAATGATTGTAGGAATTTCAGAATAGAGAAAGTAGGGTAGCCAGGCAGAGAAGTCATCAAGGAAAGTTGATAACGGTCCAGGGGGCCGGTAGATGACAGCAATTTCTAAAGAAATTGGAGAAAATAGACGTACACAATGAGCTTTGAACGATGAGCGGGACAGAGAGGGAGGAGAGTGAAGAACATGAAAGGTGCTCTGTGGGCACCTTTCATGTCTGGGGGAGTGAGTCCAGAGAAGACGACCATGGGAGAGGGAAGCAGGAGAAGCAGTGTCGAATTCATGAAGCCAGATTTCGGTGACAGCAAGTAGATGAAAGGAGTTAGTGACAAAGAGGTCAGGAACAGAGGTGAGTTTGTTGCCGATAGAGCAAGCATTCCAGAGGGCACAGGAGAAGGGTGGACTGGTTTTTAGGAAGAAGAGGAATGGAGACTAAATTTTGTGGATTGCGGCTGGTGTCAGAGGGCGCAGGGTGATGAGTGGGTTGGTTGCGGTTAAATAAAGGAGGTCCAGGGTTTGGGGATATGTCTCCAGAGGTAAGAGAAGCAGAAGGATGAGAGAGGTAATGAGAGTGTGATTTATATGAGGGGACATGCCTCAGCATCCTGGGGGTTTTATTAGCATGTGGGATTTGAATTAGGAAGAGATGACGAGTGCAGTGATAAGGGGAGGACAGAAGTGAGGGTGATATATACAGATTGTGGGGTGGAGAAGAGGGGTGAAGGGAACAGAGTTTGAGGAGAGAGGACACAATTGTGAAAAAGAAAGGTACAGAGAGGAAGGATTGCTGAATGGGGAAAATGAGGTCACCTGCAGACTGGTGTTTTGCAAAGTAGCTTGCTGTAGATTTTCGCTTCGTGCAATTGCTGTACTGCAAGAGCGTAAAGATTAACTGATTTCTGACTGCCCTATAGCAGATATACTGCTACAGGGTGGCACAGGTGCACGTGATTTTGCATTTCTGGGTAGGGGACGCAGTGATTGCTGAGCATCTCCAACGGGGAGGAGATTTTTTGTAAACAACAGTTCTCCACCCTATCAGCTTGTGCACACTAGTGATCAAGTGCTAATATTACTTGTGAGCTAATATGGTGAAATTCAAAAGTGCTTGAATTAATCAATTAATCAAAAATAAATGCAGATATGGTTCGCTAGCTCCTTACACTAACTCATAAATAGTGCTGACACCTCAATCCAAATATTAACAATAGTGCTGCGCTCCCGTGCTATTAATAGTGTTTACCCATAATATAATGTGATAATAAAGCGCACGTAAATAAAGAGCGTGATAACAAAGAGCGCAGCACTATTGTTAATATTTGGATTGAGCTTGTGCACACTGCTTTGGATGGCTGTGCACAGCACAGCCATGCATAGCAGTGTGATTACAGTGAAGCACAGGGACACAGCTTACAGTGAAACAGCACACCGTTAACCCTTTGATCGCCCTTCATGTTAACCCTTCCTGCCCAGTGCCATTAGTACAGTGTCAGTGCTTTTTTTTTTTTTTTTTTTTTTTTTTTAAAGCACTGATCACTGTATTGGTGTCACTGGGGATGTCAGTGACACCAAGTCAGTTCCCCCCAGTGTCAGAATGCCTGCCGCAGTCCCGCTATAAGTCGCTGATCGCTGCCATTATTAGTAAAAATAAAAAATAAATTGCAGCATCTATACCGCCATTTGTATAACTTTCACGTAAACCAATTAGTTTACACGTATTGGGATTTTTTTTTTTTAGCAAAGACATTTAGCAGAATACATTTTGGCCTAAATTTATGCCGAAATTAGATTTTTTTTTTTTTTAAAAATTTTCTGGACATGTTTAATAACAAGAAATAAAAAATATTGTTTTTTTTTCTCAAAATTGGCGGTCCTTTTTTTTTTTTTTTTTTTTTTTTTTTTTTTTTTTTATAGCACAAAAAATAAAAACCGCACAGGCGATCAAATACCACTGAAAGCTCAATTTGTGGGAAAAAAGAGAAAAATTTCATTTGGGTGCAGCGTTGCATGACCGCGCAATTTTCAGTTAAAGTAACGCAGCGCCGTAACGCAAAAATGGCCTGGTCAGGAAGGGGGGTAAATCTTCAGGAGGGCAAGTGGTTAAGATCAGTCATAATTTAGATAAGAGACTTAAGGACCAAATAAACAACATAATAATGTGAACAGGGCTACAGATGGATGTGAAGCAGCAGTGACATAAATGCAAGTTTACCAGAAAGACATTGAGAGGTGTTAGTCTGTATTCAGTTAAGGGTGGATGTCAACGGGTCTTTGTTGTGTTGTAGTGTACACTGGTATTCCCAAAGGCTTTATTTGTTCTTTTCTTGGTAGGTGAGTTCAGTACAGCAACTAGCCAGCCAGTGGAAACAAAGGATACATGCCATTAGGAACACGAATATTTCATCTCAAACTGCACTGGTAAATAACTGAATCAAAGTTACATTTGTTTTACATGTTGTCTGTCTGCAGAAACACAGTTTTTTTTTTTTTTTTTTTTTTTGGGGGGGGGGGGGGGGGGCGGTTTATTGCTAAACGGCACCATTTTTTTCCACCCATGGGATCTCTTTTTATAAGTTCAATAATTCACAGATATCATAATAACGAATATCCTTTGGCTGATTCACTTTATGTTAATAGTACAGTACAGGACACAGCCTGAGTATTCATAGCAGAGTTATAGTCTGGCATCTTTGGACAATGGCAAGTTTTTGAGAACATGCCCCCTGGGCTTCTCCCATAACCCTACCCCAGTCTGCAAATCTTCAGTTTTCACTACGGTCTGAAGGTGATGGACTTCTTCTCCCTTATGGAGAGATCACTCTTAGCTTAACTACAATCAACTTTTCAATTTTCAAATACTCCAACAGAAACCATGCATCTGAATTGGTGCAACTATGATAAAACATTGGAAACTATACTTGGATCCCATGCTGCGGGGATGGCCTGTAATGTTGCTTCAGGCACTGGATCCTTCATGGGTGTTCACCTCTGCACATGTTGTAATGTGTATAATTAGGCACAGGGTGCTATACAGGTCCAGGGCTGTGATCCATCCCTACAGACCCCAGACCCTGAAGACCCTTCTGAGGGTATGTCCACTGTGATGGACAAAGCCTGGATCCTATACTGAGATCAGCGGCATGGATAAATAAGATCTCTGATCGTTCATGTAAAAACTGGGACTGTGTTTGGAATGTATTCACTTTTACAGTGTAAATTTTTCAAACTTGACACTAAAACTCAACCACTCAGGGCTTAGTCTGAGGTAGGTGACCAAGAGTTACATCACACCACAGGTCAAACATTTTCCCACTGCTTCCACCTAGAGCCCTTTAAAAGATATTTAGGCACTTTCTCCCGCCCTTTTGGTACGAAGACTTCACTACAGGATGGTTTGCACCTGAGTTGCTCCTGTTTGGCAATGCTTACCCTATATTCCACACCCTATTTAGTGTGTACCCCACAAGGGAATACCCTCACCCGTAGCAATAGCAGCGACCAGCTAAAAATGAGCCACAGCAATAGCTTAGGCAAATATTTGCCTTGCCGAGGGCCTTCACAACACTCTCTGCTCAGAACTACAATGCTTCTTTTGCCCTGGAGCAGGATCCTATTGTAACACCGATCTCTGCATCCAATTCTTGCTCTATCTCAGGCAACCAACATGTGGCCTACCTGACAAAGGCAGACTTCTGCAAATATGTCACAAATCCTTAGACATCTAACAACTTAATTTAGCCATCACTTTTGAGGGCTCAAAAACACCAGTCTTTCTCCAGCTACACTGTCTCTACCCAAGTCAGATCCTGTTGTGTCTGGCCTAGAAAAGGCAGTCACAGAAGGGAATAAATAGGACCCAGAGGGAGGTTGTCAGGTGCCTGGGGATGTCCTCCATACTTGGTGGACTTTTCCCATGCTGAGATACTTTTGGACAAAAGTGTTTACACAGATTGTTTGTTTGAGACCCGTCTCCCTAGGGATCCCTGGTTTGCTTTATTACATTTTAAACCACTGAACCTCACTGAACAACAATTTTAAACACAGGGTGGCTGGGCGTCTCCTATACCTTGCAGTCTTTCCCCTGTCCTCCCCTCTCTACCTTTTTTTTTTTCCACGTACCCCTTCCCTCTTGCTTTCTCGTCTCCTTTTTCCTCCTCTCTTCTTTCACCCCTACTCTTCTTTCACCCCTACTCTTCTTTCACCCCTACTCTTCTTTCACCCCTACTCTTCTTTCACCCCTACTCTTCTTTTCATCTGATCCTAAGGTTACCCCACCATAGCACCTATTCTAATCTGTCCATTTAATCCATTATGGAGCAGTGTTGCTTTACACACTCCTGTATATACTACCTGTATCTAGGTTGTTTGGTTTTTTTTTTTCTACATATTGTTACGTTTGCATAACTAAATCTTTTTTTGACAACTGAAAAAGGACACAGATGGTGTTAAAGGAGACCACAGAAGATTTCCTGTCCACCTGCTGTTACATACTATATGTTTGCCAGTGTTGATATGCCCACTTCTGCTGTGTACTAAAGTCATTGTTGTACTTGAATCTCCCTTCTCTTGCCATGCCCCTTTGGGTACAAACAGACCTGCTAAATCTGAAGAGACCTTTCTGTTGTAATTCCTACACCGTTCACCTGATTTGGATGTGAATACCCTCAAATTAAAGCTGACAGTCTGCAGTTAAAGCACATCTTGTTTGTTTCATTTCAAATCCATTGTGGTGGTGTATAGAGCCAAAAATGTTAGAATTGTGTCGATGCCCCAATATTTATGGACCTGACTGTACCTTCAGTTTCCTACATTTTGCATGGAACTTGTAAGGTCAATTATTGCCTCTCTGAGCCGAGGGGAATTTTTTGGCATCTATAGATATCCAAGATGCCTATCTTCATATTACCATTACCATCCACCCCATCAGCACTTTCTATATTTTTGCAGTGGGAAACATTGACTTCCAGTTTGTCTCGCTGCCATTTGGCCTTTCCTCTTTCCTGAGAGTATTCCCAAAGGTCCTCACACCTATTCTTGCCCTTGTAAGAACAGAGGGCATTCAGGTCACAGGCTATCTTTTCCTGAAGTATTCCTCAACATTCCAGCTATCTGCAAACATCCACAGGACAATTCTGATGCTTTAGGCTTTTGGTTGGGTGATCAACTTTCAAAAATCTGTTCTCCAACATTCTCTTTGTTTGTAATACTTGGTTCTGATCTTGGACACATCCCAAGCAAAAGTCTTCCTTCTAGAGAAGAAACTGCTTTCTCTCAGAGCTCACACTTCTGACCTGAGGTCAGAGACAAAACTACGAGGGTTTTGGGTTCTATAGTAGTGCTGCAGCTGTTTCATTTGCCCATTTCATATGAGTCCTCTCCAACACAACATCTTCTTGGTGTAGAACAAGCAGGTTCCTTCTCTCAACCTACCCCATGTTCCTGTCCAGCCAAGCAAGGAATTCCCTAGTGTGGGGGGACTCCAACCCAGCCTTAACAATTGGTAAGTCTTTCCTTCCCTATCAGTGGAATTCGATGATAGATTCCGTTCTCTCAGGGAGTTGTGTTCCAGTCCTTCACAGACCAAGGAGCATGATCAATAGTGGAAGCCAAGCTCTACATCAACACCCTGATGCTCAGAGCAATAAGGCTGGCTCTGCAGCACTCCTTCTGGAAGGACACCAAATCAAGGTACAATCAGACAACACCACAGTCGTGACCTGCATCAAACACTAAAGGGGTACCAGGAGTCGTGCAAACTCTAAGTAAGCAAGCCAGATCATTCAAAATATATAGAGACTGGTGATTCCCATTCCCAAACAGACCCAGAAAAACTTGCTATGCAGACATACTAGAACTTCTAGGAGACAACCCCTGGCCTATTCCCAACAGGCCAGACCTTTTGTCTCAAGGTCTTGTATTCCATCCTGCTTCACAGTCAATGGCATTAATTGCATGGTTGCTGAAGCCCAGGTCTTAAAAGCAGTAGTAAACTCTAGGGGGGGGGAAAAAAAAAGAAAGTAATGCATCACATACTAGCACATTATGTGAAACTTACCTTAAAATAAAGCCCTCCAGCAGCACGCTGTCACAGCTGACAGGGCTGCCATCTTCGGTCGGTCCTTCTTCCGGATTCACGGGCTCTGGCGGCTTGAATGGCCGAGCCACAATGACGTCATTCCCACGCATGCGTGCAGGAGTCACTTTTTGCGGCACACAGCTTTGAAGAAATGGCATGGATATGCCGTTCCTTCAGAGTGCATGCGCCGGTGCTCTACACATGCACATTTAGGAGATATTTACAGTACCTACAGGTAAGCCTTAATATAGGCTTACCTGTAGGTACAAGTACAAAATCAGACTTTACTACCACGTTAAAGGACTGAGCGGTCTGTGATTCCTACTTTTGCTAAAAACAAAAACGGCCACCTCCAGAAAGATCTGTTGTACACTGGAATCCTACTTTAATCCCAGAGACTACTGCCTTGCAATCTGCTCTTACTACTTTTAGGACTTGAGTGGAACTTGACCTTAAGCACTCTAAAAGCCTCTGCCCTCTTTTGACTCTTAGGACCTTGCAAGGGATGTCTTTCTTCCAAGCCTACCATCGCTAGATGGATGAGACAACTCATCGCCAGAGCTTACACTCTAAAGGGCAAAACTCCTCATGCGCTTCTATATGCTCTCTTCACCAGGTTCAGTGGATGTTTCCTTGGCTTTCCGGCACCAGGTCTCTGTTGCGCCACTTTGGAGGACTGCCATCTTGTCCTCTGTTTATACCATTTGACTTTGTGCGTTTGCAGCTTTCAGCCACAAGGTTCTTTCTGTGGCCCTCTGAAGTCGGGTTTTTTGACTCTTGGTATAGTGCTTGTAGACACAGTTCTGTGTGCCTAATTGTTGTCCACCTTTCTCATTCATTGCTTGGAGATGCCCTAGTGTCTATGAATGGCCTGTATCCTGTACTGTACAAGTATGGCAAGAGAAATTTCAACTGACCTGTATATTCTATGTGTATGAGTTAGGTACAGAACACAGGCCTCCCTTCTATTCCTGTGTTACTCTGCTTTGCTTGGAACAAAACTGTGGGGTTGAGTTATTATGGACACAACCTTGTACTCAAATGCTTTCTAGCATCCAATCACTTGAAGGTACCAGCCAGGGTCCATGATTACTCAGCCTGTGTCCTGAACTGTAATCCAAGATATGAATTTTACAGGTAAGATAAAATACCTCCTTTGTTTTCATTGTATTTTTATTGCCAAAGTCTGTTGTGTGAAAACGCTGAAATGCCTCCTATATTTGCATATAATGAGTATGACAGTGCTCTGTTGCCTTAGACTGCTGTTAAGAGGTTACATTTTTTTTTTCCTGTAACACACAACTCTGGGCTCAGCCCCCTGGAAGCCCACCCAGCAGTATTATATGCCTTTGTCAAAAGTTGTTAGGCTAGTCAGGTGATGTGCTGGGTCCTCTCCAGTCTTCTTATGGCAATGGGCGGTCCTCAAATGGCACTGATGTAATGAGTTCAGTGCTGCTTTCTGCAGTACTACACAGAAAATGTAGGCCACCGTGATGATTCTCCTGCAGGGGGAAGGTCCTTGATGCCCTGAGCAAACACGATTGCCTCAGTGTCTGAGACTCCAGAGAACTGTGAGGGGAATTTTCAGACTAAAGGCAGGTATTTTTTTTTTTCTTTTTTTATACCTGGAGAAGGGTGGCGACATTTAAAAAAAAATGGGCTTTAAAGTGGTTGACTGTGGCTGAGATTTTTGTGGTGTTGCACATGTTTGGGTATGTATGTATGCCACTTTCCTAGCAACATAAGCTGGATGACACAAAACAATTGTGTATGCTACAGTTGTTTTATGTCATTTTTATGCAGACTCAAAACACTTATATATTAGAAAAAATGCAGTGTGTTTGGTGTGACTGGAAACTTTTTGTATTTTTTTTTTTTTTTGTTACTGTATTTGTGCCAGTGTAAATGAGCCTTAGGCTGGGCATTGGACTACCAAGACTTAAGACTGTGTTTTGGAAATTTTTTCCTTTACATAAAGTTTAAAGTTATTGCATATTGTTTATTCTTGGTTTATTGTTCCTCAGATCAATGAGCTTACCAAGCCTGCAGCTAGCTCAGCTCCCATGTTTGGAGGACAACAAAACTCTAGCTTTCCCACTACAAGTAAGTCTCTATTAAAGTGGTAGTAAACCACAAAAAATAAATCTAAAACAATCTTCTCTATGCAAGGTAAGCATAATGTGCAATATATGCATTATATATATGCATTAGCTGAAAACGAAGCCCTTCAGTGGAGTCTTCCATGTTCACCCAGTCTTCCTGCCAGGATCACGGACTGAGGCAGTTTGACTGGCCGAGTCACGATGAATGCGCGGGAGTCTCGGCTGTATGACGGCACTTTCAATGGATGGTGCGCCATCCATTGAGAGCGCAGTGTGAATGCACCAGTGACATCATCAGGGCAGCAAAACTAAATATCTCTTAACCGGTTCCCGCCCAGCCAATAGCACAAAGGCGGCCGGCAAAACACCTCGTCCCTCCGGGCGGACACTATATGGTGTCCTTTCAGGCACACGCAATGCGCCTGCCCGCAGGGCCACTCTGCGGCGCGATCTGTCACCGGCCGTGTACCTTGGACACGGCCGATGACAGATCTGTGTACCGGCCCCGTTTCCAGTACCATGTGAGCTGCTCTGACCAATCACAGCAGGTCACATGACAGTTGCATACAATGGATGGCTTCCATTGTATACAAGTGTGTCTAGCTGTGAATGGTCACAGCGATCACATGCACAAGCTGGGCCAATCACAGCCCAGCTGTGTCATGTGATTAGCCGTGGCCGAATCACAGCTAAGCACAAAAAAAAAAACCCTGAATGAATCGATGTCATTCAGGTAAATGCTTGCTTATAGCAAAGTAATTATTTGCTATAAGCAAATTGTGTAAAAGAAAAAAAAAAAAAAAAATACTGATCACTTCCCCAAAGTAGTACAATTTTACTATGGTAACATTATACTACTTTGGTCATAGTGAAATATGAAACAAAAAAATCTTAAAAAAAAGAAAAAACCATGTAATAAAAAATTAAAAATAATAAAAAAAATAAATTAACTTTTATCACATTTTTTTTTTTTTGTACTGTCACCAGTCAGTGTCCCTGGTCATCGCCATGCCAGTTATATGATGACGCTGTACTGCACTGGTGACAGTATGTATAAAACAAATAGTGAAAATAATTTGTTTAACTTTTTAATTTTTCGAAACATTATGACAAAAAAATTACAACTTCAAAAAACTCGCCATGCCTCTTATGAAATATGTCGGACTGTCTACTTTGCAAAAAGGGGTTGTTTGGGGATATCTGTACTGTTCTGACATTCTTGGACATTCTTGGACCTCAAGAAATTAGATTGGCCGTCAGTACTTCAGGATTGATCAATTTTCAGATCTATACCATAGTTTGTGAACTCTATAACTTTCCTACAGACTAAATAATACATCCTAATTTGGGTTATTTTCACCAGACATGTAGCAGAATACATCTTGGCCTAAATTTATGAAAAACAATTATTTATTTGCAAACTTTTATAACAGAAACAAAGAAAAATGTGTTTTTTTAAATTTCAATCTTTTTTTGTTAATTTAGCAAAAAATAAAAACCCCAGTGGTGATTAAGTACCTCCAAAAGAAAGCTCTAGTTGTGTGAAGAAAATGATAAAATTTTAGTTTGGGTACAATGTTGTATGACCGCGCAATTGTCATTCAAAGTGTGAGAGCGCTGAAACCTGAAAAATGGCCTGGGCAGGAAGGGGGTAAAAGTGCCGGTATGGAAGTTATTAAACTGTGCACTTTTTGGAGATCTATACAATACCTACACTCAGGGTGGATTTGATTTAAATCACTAGTGAAAAGGCTTGATTTAATTCATAATTTTTAAAGAGCAACGGCCATCTCTGTCCTGCAGCGGCTCCTCTGACCTGTTGACTCACCGACAGTCCCATTCACTTTACCCACTTGCCCTCCAGAGGATTTACCCCCTTTCCTAACAAGGCCATTTTTTCATTACAGCGCTGCATTACTTTAACTGACAAATGTGCAGTCATAAAATGCTGCACACAAATGAAATTTACGTGCTTTTTTTCCCACAAAAATAGCTTTCTTTCAGTGGTATTTGATCGCCTGTGCAGTTTTTATTTTTTGTGCTATAAACAAAAAAAGACCAACAATTTTGAGAAAAAAGACAATATTTTTGACTTTTTGCTATTAAACATGTCCAATAAAAAAATCAAATTTCGTCATAAATTTAGGCTAAAATGTATTCTGCTATTCCAATACGTGTAAATTAATTGGTTTACGTGAAAGTTATAATGGTGGTATATACACTGGAATTGTTTTTTGCTAGTAATGGCGGCGATCAGCGACTTATAGCAGGACTGCGGCAGGCATTCCGACACTGGGGGGAACTGACTTGGTGTCACTGACCTCCCCAGTGACACCAATACAGTGATCAGTGCTAATGATGCCATGAAAGGAACAGCACAACAAGCCAGCAAAGACATGATTGCTGTATCAAATGGATAGACTCATCCAGCTTTACTTGGGGGCACCCCATAGGACACCACAGTTTTTTTGTATTTAATTTTAGCTTTATTAAACAGACATGGTCTTTTAGATGCAGAAAAATTCTGTACCAGTTAAATTTAGAAATTGTAAATTCCTAAAAAAATCAGCTATTGCACTGTAAAATTTAGTCCTTCAGTACAAAAAGGTTCAGTTGAATTTACGAATATCCCTCTAAATGAAAGCTAATCTCTGGCCCTTAACTAAACAAACCTTTTTTCCTTTTTTGGGTTTTTTTTTTTTTTTTTTTAGTTAAAGACTGTTTGCTTTTGCCAGCATGCTTGGCTCACGATCTCAGGCTCCACAGTTCACAACATACAATTAAACATAACCTGACTTCATCCAGAATTTTTTTTTTTTCTATTAATTGATTGGAATGCATTAGAATGTCTATCAGTAATTATTGCTCTCTATAGTTTCCTATCTCTGTGACACCCGAACAAGAAATGTGTCGCTGGGATAGGTATGCATTCACTGAAATACAAACCTGTAACTGGATTCTAAGCTTTACCCAATGTTTTTGTTGATCTCTATGTCCCCATTGGAGAGATGACACTCCTTGCTACTGTTTCTAACACTGCTAAAATCTATCCAAAAAAGCTTTTGGCTGGTGTTGGAAGCACTTGTGATAATGTGCAGGCATATACAGCATCTTGTGCATTATGGCCAATTTACCTCCAAGTTTACCCTCCTCCAGCAGTGACCATTCCATGCTCCTCATTGCTATTGCTGCTATGCTCTTGGAATCATTCTTTTGGACCAATGTCTTTTCTTTAGCCAGTGGGCAGCCACTGATGATGTAACTCCATTCCTGGAATATGTAAGATGTCCTATTTGGCAGGACAATGCAGCTCCAGCACACATGTATGTATGCTGGAGCTGCATTGTCCTGCCAAATGGGACATCTTACAGATTTCAGGAATAGAAGTAAAAGCCATTTTATGGCATAGTCTCTTCTACCCATAAACTGTACCCTCAGCAATTTGCATTCAACTTCAGTTTTGCTTTTATTAAAACAACCAAGTTAAGTAATCCATGGTAGCCGGTCAGTATGAATGGTTTCTAAGTGGTCTTTAAGATGCGCAGCTAGGTGGCGGTTAGAGCAGGCAGCTGAGCCATAGCTTTACTGCCTCTCACAGATTTTAACTTTTTTTTTTTTCTTTTTTCTTTTTTACAGGCTCATCCACCAGCAGTGTACCTCAGTCTGCCATTAATTTCAGCTTCAAGACAGATTCTCAGGCACCTAGTGCAGGGCCCATTTCCAGTTTTCCCAGTGCTCCAGGATTTGGCAACAAATCAGCAACCGGTTTTAGCAATGCAGTGACAGGATCTGCAGCTTCATTTTCTTTTGCAGTACAAAAGCTTCTGATGGTGCATCATCTGGCTTCAACAGTGCAAAGGCGGTTTCGGCTGCTACATTTTCCTTTGCACCCACCACCTCCTCAGATGCCGGAGCAACTTCTTTTTCTGGGTTTGCTGCAGCCACAACTGCTCTGCCTGCAAGTACTTCTACCATCACAGCTGGTTTTGGAGGAACAACAGCGGCTTCAGGTTTTGGGCAAGATACCAAATCAGTCTTTGGAGGGACAACAGCGGCTTCTGGTTTTGGGCAAGATGTCAAATCAGTCTTTGGAGGAACGACAGCAGCTTCTGGTTTTGGGCAAGGTGCCACATCAGTCTTTGGAGGGACAACAGCAGCTTCTGGTTTTGGGCAAGGTGCCACATCAGTCTTTGGAGGTGGTTCTAGTACTTCTAGCTTTGGAGTTTTGGCTGGTAATACAGCGACATCAGGTTTTGGGGCAAAAACAAGTGCAGTGTCAGATCTATTCAAAGGAGGTGCTGCAAGCTCTGCCCCTATTTCAACATTTGGCCAAACATCAAGTGTGTCAGAAAGTCGTCCACCAAGTGTGACCACAACAGCAGAAGCCAGCAGTGAAAACCCTGTTTTCACACCACGGTCTCAACTCTCTGACTTAGAACTCGCACAGTTTGAATCCCAGAAGTTTACAATAGGGAACGTTCCCCTGCGTCCTCCACCTGCAAATCTTTTAACCTTATATTAACAAAGAGAGCCTGTTATTGAGGGGTGTACAATACATTTTATATATTAAATTAATTTTCATAAATTAGAATTTTGTTTTTTTTCTTAAAATATTAGGGGTGAAGTTTCTAACATGAAGTTGAGAGTTCATAAATCTGATTGCTCCTGTGGACAGGTGTCTTTTATACAGGTAACAAAATGAGATTAGCAGCACTCCCTTTAAGAGACTGCTTCTAATCTCAGCTTGTTGCCTGTATGAAAGACACCTGGTAGCCAGAAATCCTGCTGAATGATAAGGGATCAAATACTTATTTCCCTCATGAACATGCATATCAGTGCATAATTTGTTAGACATGCATTTCTTTTGAATTTTTTGTTGCTATTCTGTCTCTCAGTGTTACAATACACCTACCATTCGATTTTTAGACTGATCATTTCTCTGTGAGTGGGCATTTAAAATCAGCAGGGGATCAAATACTTATTTCCTTCACTGTACATGCTAATATAGCATCTGTGTGCATTCAAACCATCCATGTGCTGCTTTTTGGATCTACAGTATTTGTTAGAGTCCAACAAAATCAACAGTGAACATGCAAGTTCTTTTGGAAGGCAGAGGGATTATCTGCGCTCATCTTTGAATCGGCATCATCAGTGAAGGAAGTAGAGGCTGACCCTGGATAATGCCTAAGCAATGGCTTCATCCTACTGAAGTTCTTTTGGAACCTGGAAGTATTCTACTTTTACAAGTTTATTTATTTTGCATTTATAAAACACATACAATAACAGAAAAGGAGACAAATGATAAAAGGAACCCAAACTAAAACATAGAAGTAAGGGTTACATGGAATGGGGATGGAGTTATTACCAGGCCATGAGCCCCACACAGAAAACAATGAGGATTACAAATAAAAACATAGCATGGCAGATCAACAATCAAAAGCAATCAAACACGCAGTTATCCATACACAACAGGCACAATGACACACCAACGCCTGCACCATCAACTCCCCGTACACGATAGAAGAGATCGCTAGCTCATAATCTCCACCACTCAAGCCATAGAACCCTGCGACAGTGGCTGTGATAAGAGAGTATCCTCCCAGAAAGAGTCCGATATATCCAACCAACATTGCCAGATGTTTGTGAACTTTTTAGGGCAGGCCCGTCCTTTATATATCCGCTTATATTGAGGAAGAACAAGATTAACCATTCGATAGAATCTGTGTATAGAAGGTGGAGTGTTTTCCAGTTTAACCCCTTGATGCCGACATCACACAAATATGCGGCCTCACGAAACTGGGATTTTTTTCCTTGGGCCGAATATTTGCGTACCTGTCTTTGTTCTGGGAGCGCGCCAACACAGAGACCGCGGTGTCACTGAGAGCCCCGGGTCCCGTTCTAACGATCGGGACCCGGGACTCCCGATTCCGGGTCACATGATCGCTGTGATAGCCTCTGATTGGCTATCACAGTGATCAGTCACTGTACAGCCCGGCCCTCTTGCTTTTTTTTTCCTCTCTCTATGAATGGAGAAGAGATGCATTGTTTCTCTATAACTCCTGGCATAGAGAGAAAAAAAAGTTTGTAAAGAAAAAAAAAAAAAAAAAGATAAATATTAAAAAATAAAGGAAAATACCTAGATAAAAGTTTGCTCTAGTTCAGTGCCAGGGTTAGTGTTTGGGTCAGGGTTAAAGGTCAGAATTTAAAAGAAAAAAAAATTGGTGTCAGTGTGTTTTAGGTAAAAAAAAAAAACAAAATGTGCACTATTGTTTCTGGGCTGTACTACGGGTACAAACAACAAATAACATACACATATATGGTATCGCTGCGATCGTCAAGAGCTGGAGAATTTATTTTGGGTTGTTCTTTGGTGGTAGGTTATGGCCGTAAAAAGAAACACACAGCTAAATAAAAAAAATATATATTTTTTTTTTTACTATTTTGGGCCAGTTTTCCTTTGATAATAATAAAAAAATTATTTACCACCAAAGGAAAGCCCAATTTGTCCTAAAAAAAAAGGAGGGTATAATACACCTGGATGTACAAAGTAGTTGTGATGATATGTGCGTTTTACTATCACATGTCAACATTGCAGAATTGTGCTTAGGCATTTAGATTTGTTTTACCCTTAGGCATGAAGGGGTTAACTAAACAGGTTTTCTAGCATAAAACAGGAGCAGGCGTAACAATATTCTAGACTGAGTGTGAGGGACATAGTCATTAAAAACGCCCAACAGGCCAACCTCTGGGGTACATGGCACTGGCAAACAAAAGTTTCGTCAAGGAAAGTAAAAAGGTCCTGCCAGTACAAAGCAAGGGCCGGGACAGGCCCAAAACATGATTATGCTTACAAGTTACTTAGCATGCATGCACTTTACATAAAAAAATACCTGGTGCTAGGGCCACTTTAAAATCTAAATTCACTCTTAAAAAAAATAAATGCACATTTTTTTTTTTTCAGGGAAAAGGAAATGTGCATTTGGTTTTTTGTACCCATGATCAGTGGACTGTGGGTGCAATGTACGGCTCCAGGAAACTTTTCCTCCATCTGTCTGCCCATTTGGATTTTCAATTAGAAGGCTGGAAGGAAGTGTCAATGAACTACGAGTGTGCTGATTACCACACTTGTATTTCATTGAGAACCACAAATCTGTTCTATCTCTATGAATAAATAATACGGCTGTGTGGTGAGAGCCCCTCACAGCCACACTAGTTTCACAAGTGACAGCTTCTACAGGGAGAAGAACCTCTGCATGCTGTTGTTGGGTGCACTGGAGGTGGGGGGGTCAGGTTGCTTAACATGTTACACCCTTGATACAGATGTAACATAATGTAGCTAAAGCTGGAGTTGGCCTATAAGTTTTGTATATTTTCTTAACCACTTCAAGTCCGGACACTATCACCCCCTTCCTGCCCAGGCCAGTTTTCAGCTTTCAGCGCTATCACACTTTGAATGACAATTGCGCGGTCATGCAACACTGTACCCATATGAATTTTTTAGAATTTTTTTTGAGACAGATAAAGCTTTATTCTGGTGGTATTTATTCACCACTGGGGTTATTTTTTTTGCTATATAAATGAAAAAGTCCCAAAATTTTGGAACATTTTTTCTTATAAAATTTTGCAAATAAATAATATTTCATCATAAATCTTGACCAAAATTTATTCAGTTATCTTTTTAGTAAAAAAAAAATAACCCAAATTAGTTTATAACCAAAAATTATAATTTAAAAAAAAAAAATTTAAATTTTTATTTTATTTTATTTTATTTTTTTTATTCTTTATGGGTTTTTTTTTTACATACTGTCACCCTAGCATTAGTGTCATGGTGACACTGTACTACTTGTGGGGGGGTGATAAAGAGTTTTTATTTGTTTTTTTTTTTTTTTACACCCATAAAGGATGTAAAAGCAATCATTTCTCCTTTTCTCTGGCTGCATTCTTGCAGCCATTGAGAAATGCTGTGTGAGCTGTGATTGCTCTCAGCTTGTCACATGGTACAAGGCTGTTGTGAATAGCCTTGTACCATGTGACCTCTGTGATCATTCACAGATTTCACACGTAGTAAGCAGTATTTCTCAATCAGTGATCACGTGATCGGGGCCTCACACAGAGGTCCCGTACGACGATCGGTGTTCCACTGTGTCCACTTTTTTTTTTATATGGTTGAACTGGATGGACTTTTGTCTTTTTTTTCAGCCAATGTAATGATGTCTACATATTCCTGATGCTCTTCCATTTTCATGAGTCCTGTCCCACTGGAGAGCTTACCATTTTACATCTTTGAGTCATACATGACTTCACACAACAATATTTGTGTAAAAGACAGTTAAAAAACACATTGTGTATATGTTTTAGGCAGGTGGGAAAAAATGCTGTAAATTAAGAATGCCTTCAGAAATAGAAGTGTTAATAGTTTATTTTTATCAATTAACAAAATAGAAAGTAAAGGAACAGAAGAGAAATCCAAATCAATATTTGGCATGACCACCCTTTGTTTTCAAAACAGCATCAATTCTTCTAGGGACACGTACACACAGGTTTTGAAAGAACTTGACAGGTAGGTTGTTCTAAACATCTTGGAAAACTAACCACGGATCTTCTGTGGACCTAGGCTGCCTCAAATACTTCTGTCTCTTCATGTAATCCCAGGTAGTTTTGACAATGTTGAGATCAAGGCTTTGTGAGGGGCCAAACCATCTTTTCCAGGACTCCCTTTACGCTGAAGATAGTTCTTAGTGACATTGGCTGTATGTTTTGGGTCATTTTCGTGCTGCAGAGTAAATTTGGGGCCAATCACTTGCCTTCCTGATGGTATGCCTGTGTTTCTCAGCAATGTAGACACCATTGATCCTAACCAAATCTCCAACTCCTTTGTAGAAATGCAGCCCCAAACATGCAAGGACCCTTTGGTGCATTAAGTTTCCTTGGCTGACCACTGTGTCCTCAATGTTGTCTATTTGTGCTTTTTTAAAAGAGCTGGAACAGCACATTTTGAAACCCCTGTCTATTTGAAATCTTTGCCTGGGAGAGACCTTGCTGATGCAGCATACCTACCTTGTGTCTGGTTGCTGTGCTCAGTGTATGCCGTGACCGGAAACTGACTTCTAAAACCTCACCTTAGTAGCAGAGTTTGGCTGCTCCTCACCCAGTTTTAAGACTCCTACACAGCTGTTTGTTTAACCACTTGCTCTCCAGAGGATTTACCCCCCTTAATGAAAAGGCCTCTTTTTGCTACTCGGTGCTACACTAATTCAACTGATAATTGCGCGGTCATGCAATGCTGCACCCAAACGAAATTTACGTCCTTTTTTTCACACAAATAGAGCTTTTTTTTTGGTGGTATTTGATCACCTGTGCGCTTTTATTTTTCACGCTATAAACAAAAAAAGGCCAAAAATTTTGAAGAAAAACTATTTTTTACTTTCAGCTATAAAAAATATATAGTAAACTCAAAGTTGGTTATAAATTTAGGCCAAAATGTATTCTGCTACATGTTTTTGGTAAAAAAAAAATCCCAAT